TTGTTGTTGTTGTTTAAAATGCAATGACTGATTACCACTGATTATTTGGTTGGTTTTGTTTAGCGGCATAAAAACCTCTATGGCTTACTTAAAGTCGAAATGCAAATATTTTATACGCCATCTTTACCATAGAGCTTAATAGAGGTTGTTATTCTAGGTTTCAACAATTTCTTTCTTCTGGTTTGTAATCTTTCTTTCCTTTCTTTCTTTTTCTTTCTGTTTTATACCGTATCTATTTCCACTAATGGGTATGTCTCTCTCCTCATAAATACTTTGAATATTATTGTAAATGGTGTGTGTGTAGCGGGGAGGGGTTAATATGCTGTCTAAGTAGTCCACCACTAGCAGTGGTTTACCTATTTTGTTGATGTTATAAAGATTATCATTTCATTTCCAAACATCGTTTTGGTTATGTTGTGTGGGGAACCTACCACCCCTCTTGAAGATGAACTCGTCTACAAACAAGGACGTAAAATAGTGGCATGTAAAAAGACAGTGTCGAAGAAGTTCTTGGGCTGAGTTAGTTATAGACTACTCAGGCGATATCTGTACCAACTTACCAACCGAATAAACCCCATTTTATTGTTACATGTTATTTGGCGTTTGTCTTTATTAACCCCAAATTAACATCATAACAGGTTAGTCCTCATTCAATAACCTTTCATAGTTTCCAACATTTCTACTTGTAGTTCTTGGGAAATATATTAGATGAACATTTTTTTTTAAGTACCACACTCAAATATCGGTTTGTCAGTTTGATTTCCGTCATTGTTACCCATTCGGTATACCTGAATCGTGTGAAGCGTACTCTAAACCCTTCTGATTATTAAAATAATTGTGGTCTTTTAACACCTTAGCGAATTTACTCCAGTGCAACTGGTAGATGTGTGCGTAAGTGACGGCGCTATACGACCCAAGATTCTGCTCAATATATCCTCCTGGGTATGGTGATAAACTACACCCGGATGCAAGGCCGCTGATTGGGAGATTTGGAGGTTTTGACGGGCGTGGAACCACCTCTTAATTGCTGTTGTTGCATGGTCCAACATGATACGAGGTGTTAACACCTGTTAGAGTCCCAGCTATGGACAAATAATTAACTCACAAAAAAAAATCAAGTGTACATTTTTACATGCAACAATACATTTTTATAGCAAAATGACAATCAAAGCAACACTAAGAAAATATGAAAATCCCTTTTTATATAGTAAATACAACAATACATTTTATCATCTGCAAAATATATAGTGATTTTCCAAGCGTAGTTTAGATGTGGCACAAGTCCGAAATTAGGAGGCACCCCGTGAGGATCGAACTCACTACTCAGTCGTAATTGTTCTAGCGAGCCAAGCTTGCTAACCATTACACCGCCTCGAGCTGACCCCAAAATAAAGTGATTTTCTAAGCGTAGCTTAGATGTGGCACAAGGCCGAAATTAGGGGGCACCCAGTGAGGATCGAACTCACTCGTAATTGTTCTAGCGAGCCAAGCGTGCTTAACCATTACACCGCCTCGAGGTGCCCCATCTGCAAAATATATATCTAAAAAATATACCTTTACTCTAAATAATAATGTAGAAAATATCTGTAGTTCAACGCATAAATTTGCGGACAAAATATTTAGATTTTGGTATTAAATAACCCGTAGAGGTTGATATGTCGCTAAACAAAATCAACCAACTAAACAATATAAGCGGTTATTCAGCCCGCCATTTTTTACGACTGTCTTGAAGATTTTTTTTTTTTTATTCCTTATTTAAGGTAGTTCGGTACTTCTGTCAAAAGGCTTTGTTTTTCCGGGACACTTTTTCCGGATTTGGTGTCAGTCAATCTCGTAAAGTTAATGCTGATTATGATCGTATATCGATACAACATCGGAACAGAGATCGACGTAAACCGGGGACTGTTGTTTCGCTCAAACAAGTTGAACAGACTGCCTTGACTACACATTATTTCCATAAGCTCTGTCCAAAGTGGCTGCTTGTCACGCACAAAGCCGTTGAAAAGGGAATAAATGTCCCAGTAGGTTCGCATACAAAGAGCAGGCGTGCAAAACGAGGAAGCAAGGACCGACGAACTGACGACGCGAAGGTGGAGTAAGATATGTCAGGGTTTTGGGCATTCGCCATACCGACTTGGCACGTACACCATCGTTCGAAGTTAACTGGTGAGTAGGGGGCATAGCGGAAAAGAGGGTGGAGTGTAATGGTTTGAGGCATGGGAATGTAACCACAACGATTAAAGTGGTGGCGGACAGGGATAATGGGCTTAACAAGATATGGTGAATAAGATTAGTGTATTCAGCTGGCTCTGAAATGAGCTGGTTGAGAAGTGAAAGTGGACATTTTTTTCTTTTTTAGAAACACTTTGTACTGTTGAATTTGCAGAGAATATATGCGTAAAGATAGCTTTGTTTCAGCGGAGGAGGTCGTGATGACATACCATTTAGAAGGGCTTGATTTGATATCAGGTATTTCATGATATTTTTCAAGGACTGATTTGATGTAACAATGGCTCATACAAATTCAGATATTAATAGTCCATATGAATTAATTCTGATGCATCCATTGAGAGATAGATATGAGACCACTTTTCTTACTTCCATCAGCATGGCTGATGCTATACTCCAGTTATGCATTGTGTATTCTCGGGCTCAGGATCTCTGCTGATATGAAGTGGAAAGACTATATTGAATCCATTGTTAGATCAGCTGCTAAGAAAGTCGCTTCACTATTTCGGGCGAGACAATTTTTCTTTCTATAACCTATCTTACATATGTATAAAGTCATTCATAAATACTTAGAATATTGCTGCCCCTTTAGCTTCTTGATATAATCCAAAGAATAATCAGCAATATTACTGGTCATGATAAGACGGCTCGGTTTCAGTCACTTTCACATCTCCGTAAGGTTGCATCTCTGTGTCTTTTCTATTAATACTGTCATGGTAGTTGTTCGGATGAGCTCTTCGCTATGAATTCTACATATGGGGATTAGTTAGAAATTCCATGGAGACAATGAGGTATTATGGTGGGTGTAGTAAGAAAGGTAGGTAAGAATGCATTGTTTTGGTGTAAGGAATATTGTGGTATGTTTTGGGTCAGTGTTTGTGGCTAGCTAAGCTAAGCTAAGACAGAAGGAAACCGTTCTTTTCTCCATTCCCCATTTTGGCCTTGTGCCACATTTTGTAAATAAATTACAAATAAATATCGCTCTTCGGTAAGGATTGTGCGTGGAGGGGGGTATTACTACCATT